CTATTGTTTTCCCTGAGTAACCCTGCCTCATAGGCCAAGGGTCAAACAATTCAGAGCAAGCGTTCCGCTTAATTTCCTCAGGAATCCTATCACCTCACGCATTAGTGGCTCCCCAGGAAGGTTTACCGAATTCCGATATAAAGATCATCGATACGTGTTGACGCTTTCGTGGTGTCCAGGACACACCCGAAAACACGTGTTCGCCAAGAATATTAGCCGGTGATCTCCGTTAGCCGGCTGTTTTTCGTATGTTATCCCAACAAGATTTAATCGGTCAAGACTACCAACGTTCTCAGGCTAACGTGGACTGATCCAGCCGAATCCTCCGTTGGAGGGAAACGAGAAATCATCAATGATCTAAAGCTCATCGGCACTGGGGCCAGCTCATCGCCGGCTAACAGGTGTACTTTATCTGAGGGATCGAATCGCGATAATCTTCCCTGTCGTCTCGAACGGCTCGCGACGATTCTCATCTGAGATTCGGTGGCAGAATCAGATTCAGGAGCGTCCTTATCTCACCATCTAGGCCTCTCCGTTCGCTCAAGTATTCCTCTCTCCTTTCGTTCAGCATCCTCTCGGTGTCTCCCCCTTCGTCTGTTTCTCAGACTGAATCCCACGTACCTTGCATACACGCATCTCGCCAGTATAGCAAGACAAGGCGACGCCAGACGCTTGGCCTCTCGTTGATGATGTATTCGTGCCTGGTAGGAAGAACTTCGAGTAACGCACGAAAATTTCCAACCACGAGCAAAAGACGGTAGCGTAATTCTGAGTAAGATGGCCTGATCTTCTTTAGATTATCTAATATTTATATCTTCAATCGATATTAGTGGTATACTGAATCTTGCACAGAAGCCTATTTAACACGTAGGATACCGTCTAAAAAGGATTAAAGCTATAACCTTTTTCATTAATTTTAATTGAACTTCTTCAATTGATTTGGTTAAAAGCTTTGTTTTATGAAAGCAAGGAAGATATTTGACGAATTGCAAATAACTTTAGTTTTAGTCTTACTAAATAACGGAAGAAAAAATAAACAAAATAGAAGGCAATGCAGTGATAAATGAAAAGTGGGAGATCTTCCCATTCGGTCGGCTAAGAGTTAATCAGTATTCTTATGTGTATTTACTTTCATAAATATATTTTGTTGTTAAGTATTAATGATGTTTGTAATGAAATAGTGCTTTTAAAAAATGTGGACTATTTCTTCCTGACTTACCCTGTTAAAGGTAAACACGTTCCGGACTGGTAACGTAGACTTACGTCAATTTTCATTGTTTTAAATGCCAGCAACGTGCTATGTGATTTTGCATTTCTAAAAAAATGTCGATCACTTAATCCTGCGACATTTTGAAATCTGTAGTTAAATATTCGAAGTACAGTTCTATTATATATTTTTTATACTCATATACATTTAGATAACAGTCTCTTTGTGATGTTGAGCTATGGATTTCCAGAAATTATATGCGGTCACAAATGCATTAACAGTTTGTGGGTCTGTAGTGTTTTCGGTTCTTCACTACGCAACTTGTATCAATGTTACTTAAGTGAACTATAGTTTAATGAAACACTTTTCTAATTTGAAAACATTTGAGAATCAGTTTAAAATGTTGTGATTGTAGTCACTGGAAGCTTTCTGGAGTAAGCCGTGTCCAGTAGGAAAATCACGCAGGCTGTGGAAGCATCAAATCTATTATATGAATATGATTAGGATATCATGAACAAAATAAAATGAAAATTGATAAAATACGCAGCTCTTGAGATAAAATTGAATATCAAATTTGTAAGTATCCTCAGTTTTTTACCGCGGAATTTGTAGTTTGGTATGGAATTTCTTTAGTTTCATTAAAATATTCTGAGAAGCATTGAAATTGGACTTGTGTATGATAAAATTAAATGGTAAAAAATTATTATGTGTATAGGAATATAGAACATATTTTTCAATTAAAATAAATTTATATAGTTCAACGCTGTTTTTCCCCTATATTGTAAACTATCTATACGTGAGTACATATGTTATATGTATAAGTGTCGAGATAATAGAATTTTTCGGACAAATTAGGAACCAAATATTTTTTTGCGACAGAATTCAAATACATTTATATTTTGTATAATAAAATTTCCTCATAATTTAAGTCAAGTATGAGAATATAAATTAATTTCACTTTAATCATCTTTGGATTGTTCCATTCTACATTTTGCGACATATTATAAATATCTCGACTTCTCGACAGAATAATAATTTTACCAACCACATAATTTTTAATTAAATGTTCCGCATTTTATTTAAATAGAAAATAAATCTGTAATGAAAATATCGTACTAAGTTTTGTACATTATAAATTATAGTGTCTTTGTGTTTCAAAAAAAAATATTGAGAATTTTAAATACTTATTTTTGCCGTTGACAATTTTTATTTTGCACAAGAAGAACATTGTATGTAGCAGAAGCTATACAATAAAGTGAATATACCTATAGTAAAATAACACATACCAAAATATAATAAAAATTTAAACACTTTCTAGTTTTATCCATGTTTACAAAAAAAAATATATATAGGTTTGTATATTTCTATAGTTTGCGACAATCTTAATAAAATACAAAACTTCGCATTAATTTATATGTCACTGTTTAATTTTTAAGAATGACTTACTCTTAACGGCTTCAGAATGAAATACACCCTAAACATGTTGTTTCACAATATCGTGTCAGATTGTAGCGATGATTTTAAACAGAATCTAACTATATATTTTCTAGATATTATATCCATATAAAAGGTTCAGTTATACATATCCTTTAATACTTTAAGTTCAAATAAAATATTATTTTTCTATTATCAATTGTTATCGTTCGCAATAAACGTGGACTTGGAATGAACATCAAACTCTTTTCTTATCTTAATAAATTATTATATTAACAACGGAATAATCGAATTGGGTACAGTTGTATAAGAAATCGTAGATTGAAAAGGATAAATTGTATTTTTGAAATACGGGAAAGCTATACGAAATTCTTAGATGATATTGTATACAACATTGGGCAAAAGTTACTGCAAGTAGCGAATATATTCAATCTAATTGTTACTTGCGAATACTAAATAATTAATATATTCATTATTCGGAAATAACAAATAAACTGAATTCATTCACCATTTTTTAATCGTTATTTTAAATAACTTTAGCCTAACACTACATATAATAACATAAAGCTAAATCATATTGGCTTGCTGTTAATCCAATTTATAAGAAATAACCGAATAAGAAATTTCGAATAAGAAATGACCAATAGTAAATAACGATTACAGGTTCTTCACACGAATAACAATTAACAAAAACAGTGACTAACTTGAGAAACATATAATTAATTAACGATAACAGAAATAATGATTAATTTCAATAACATATACCTAAATAACATATAACAGAAACAATGACTAACTTGAATAACATATAACCGAATAACAATTGATCATTTATTCGTTACTGTTATTCAAACAAAATTTATTTTCAAGTAGTGCCCAATGCAGGGTGTATACTTGAACCCATTACTAGCACCAAGCCATCACTAGGCTATCGGCTGCGTGCGCTCGAAGACACGTTATGCGAACGAGAAACGCTTTTCAGTATGGGAGTGAGAGCGTGAAACAGGTGTACGCTCGAGAAAGCATATACCTATGCAACCACGGAGGCTGCCTTCTCGAAGCCAGGTGTACAAGAAACGCCCGGAATTCACCGCGTCGAACTTCTGACCCCGAAGCGTTTATTAGCCACGATCCATTGCTCAATACGAGCCGCGTGTCCCGTCCACGTCCCGTGAACGTATACAGGGTGTCCCAGATTTTTCCCGTTTAAAAGTATCAGCTTATTTGATCCGTAAAAATATGGACAAATTTTTATATGAAAATACATTCATAAATTGTGCGACAATTTTTTTAAATGCAATATATTTTTATAATGAATTAATAAAATATATTAAGCCTTCAAGTGTTTCACTATATAAGAGATAATTTGAATCTTTAAATGGTTCCACACTTGCAAGCTAATTATCTTTTATGTTGATTAATTCGTTTATAATTACTCAATTTCTTTTTATATAAATGTTACACACGTTTCATTTCATTGTTACAACCAACCACGCTTTTCTACAAATTTCTAAAAGAATTTTCGTAAATATATTTTTATAATGATAAATTAATGTATTATGTCACATATCACATGAACGTTAGTTTATAACAAATTTTTATAAAGGAATGATCAAACAAAAAATGCAATATTAAATATTTTTCATTCGATATTTAATACAATTGATAATGTAATTTGCAATTTTCAACTTTTGACATATCACGAGTCATAATGAAAACAACATCACAAATTGTTTATTCAAAAATACTAAGTAATGAATAGATTAAATATAAAAGAAGTCTTATCAGTTGTAATATAAACAATCAAAAATTTATTAGGACACTTTAAAATAATTTTCTTTATAAATACATAGGACAGTGCTAGATATTATAGTATAAACGATATTTAATGACAAATACTTGTTAGAAATCGATATTCATTGCAATATGTATGTTTTTCTTAAACTTAATTACTTAAAATTTGTTTTCACTATTAAATGAACGTGAATTAAATCACAACGAAAAATGAATATTTCTTATATTAAACGAATAAAATTTATGATACGCATAGATAGTTATAATGCATCTTAAATTATAAAATGAATTTCTCAAGAACATCGAGATGCACAAAAGTTTTCAAATAAATATTGTTTTTATTTCGTAGATGTCGGAGGCCTCTTTAATCAAACAATTTCAATTCAGTTTGTGTTCGCCAATATGTCTGATACACGTGAGTGTTCGTTAAACTCGAAGTTTAACGATTTAATCGAGCATTCACAACTTGCACCCTATTGTTCTCTGTTCAGGTAATATTCTGATGTCTCAGTTAAGTAGAAACGAAACTAGCATACGTAAAAGAATATTAATGAACTTTACTCACCTGAACGATCTGCCGGATGTACTGAAAGGTACAACCCTTTATTTCCATCGGGATTATTCACCCAATGTTGAAGAGGTTCGCTAACGTTTAAGGTTAGCCATTTTTCTTTTCCTATTGTCGTGTTGACTGCATCCACGTATTGTAACTCCCTCGTCCTGCAACAAGCAAAATAATATGTCAGATATATGAAGTTTGTACAAAAACAATTTTGCAAATAAGTAGTATTAATTTTCAGGTAAAATAAATCTATGTTGATTTATTAGCATTCTGTAATCAAATAATACGATGATGTTTGTATTTCATATTTTGTAATCTGTATTCTAAATTGTGTTACAAATAATTTCCATTATTTTTCATTTTTAATACTTTTCGTTTCACATTAAATTACCGCAAGTTCGTATTGTTATATAATTTAAATATTTTATTTGTTTAAATGTTGCCGAAGCAAATTATTTATAAATCGAACTAGTAATTTAAAAAATGTTATTTATTATCTTTTTCAATTCAGTTGACTTCAAAGAAAATGGCAAACTGTAATAACGTATACAACAAATAGATTGGAACCTTTAATTAATTGAATCATTTTTCGTTAGAGTCGAGATTTATATTTTGCTGAAATAACCTTCTGGATAACAGTTACTTGCAAGCGTTGCAACGCATTAGGCGCTAAAAGTCACTCATAACGCTACCTCGGTGTAACAAATATCACTGCAATTTTCCGTGCATATATTAAGGAAAACTCGCATCAGTCATTACGTTAACACGCAGCTATGTGGAAAACGCAGAAAAGGCACTCGTAATGTAGAAACTGTTACGATGATCAAAACAAACACGTTCCTCGTAAACAATGCCATCTTCGTCACTACATATTTGTCTTTTATTAAAGACACTAAATTTTCATTTAGTATTAATCCTTTGTCCTATGATTTATTTCTTAGCTATGATCGATGCAACTACTTTTTCGTTCATAATTTATTAGAAGACAGAATTTTTATGTTTATTCTATGTCTACGTTCACTTTCAAGATTAATAATTAATAGTAGAAAAGTAATATTTAATTTATATGTAAAACATATAAATAATACTTAGGTTTCTCAAATTCAGTTTGAAATTTTCGTCATGAGTCTGACACGATATTGTAGCTGAAGGGGTTAACAAAACAAAAGTAAGTAAAATTCGAAAAAAATATATTGCTTAAAAATATACACTAAGTTTGTAAGAGTAAATATGGAAATAATTAAATTCATGTAATGTCGTAAAATGTATTTTCCGAAAATTGTATAGATCAAAATAACCAATTCCTAATCTTCTTTCACAATGATCAAAAACACATAACTGCTTCTTTAAAAAATTACTACAGCAGTCGATTAGGTAATGATTTTGAGTATATCATTTCTTCAACACTAAAACTGTCAAGCATTTATTTGGCTTGATATATAATCCTCATTAAAATTTTAACAATACATTTTTTCAATTTCTTCAGATATTCGTTATAATATTCAAATAAAAGTATTCATTTACAAAATTATTTCGAATATTAAATACTTCAAAAATATCAATAACTGCAAAATAAGAAAACTAAAACCCGTCATTTTAGTACGGTAGTTCCAGTGTTAACACATTAGCGACCGAGAATGAGATTTCTCGTTTTCATTTGACATACGTTGGCGACCGGAAGCGAGTTTTCTCGTGCTACATCTGTAATTTTTTTAACGCGCCATTGCGTAAAGGTGACTGTTTTATTAAATATCATACACAAAAGAAATTTTAGAGTTATTTATGTCTAAACAAGAAAAGGTTCTTCAAGTATATGCATATCAATTTCAAAGAATTATTGCAGTTTTATTACACGCCTTCCAAAATAATTGTACATCACTAAAATCGCTGATCCCATAGAAAATTTGAGCAAAACATTAGCGGTCGGCAATGTGTTAATATGTAGGAATGTTTCCGCGGAGCTTCGAGTCGCGCAACAAATCGATAAAATCGATCAATAGGAAACCACCGGTCTTACGTAACCAATCCAGTCGTGATACACAACGATAGACGATCGGTCGTGTCGCGATTATTTTGCCGCGATTCCGTGGATCGTAGCGTCGTGACTCGACAATTCGCGCGGATCCATCCGTCGGCACGTCATACCCGCGCGTCGACGAGATTTCAGCGCGAGACACACTAATCATTGTTCATTGAGGAGCTATCCTCACCTCTGATCCCCGCGGACCGAAGACACTGCTTCTGAAACGACGTATTTATCGTTTCTTTTTCTTCTCTTTCGTCTCTTTCGTCGTCTTCGTCATCTTCGTCATTTTCTTCTTCCCCTTCTTCTTTTTCTTCTTCTCTTTCTTCTTCCTTTTCTTCTTCTTCTACTTCTTCTTCTTCTTCTTCTTCTTCTTCTTCTTCTTCTTCTTTTTCTTCTTCTTCTTCTTCTTCTTCTTCTTCTTCTTCTTCTTCTTCTTCTTCTTCTTCTTCCCGGGATCGATTACCGTTCCCGTAATTGAATAATCGGGGGAAACATTGCAAATGTGCACAGAGAAACACAAATCTCCGAACACTTACGCATCGGATTCCTAGCTGGAAATTGTGCGCACTATTTGCTAATGAACACGTTATTTTTTTCTAACATTCCTCTTCACTGAATCATACGGCTCTTGCCTTCGTATGAATGGTTTATGAAACGGCCGTCGGTGGGAAATAATTTATACTCGTAACGTATGTCTCGTGTAGATATCGATAATTGGACATCGAATTTTGTAGTTTGAATGATGTTTTAATTGGATTGTATGAATCGTTCGTTAATTGCAATGGCTAGATAATTATAAGCGTCTTAGGTTTTCGAAAGTTTTACTATTGTGAAACTGTTGAAGATGGTTGTTGGGAATAAATATATTCATATAATAGTAAATTCTTATATTTATATGTCAGAAAAGGGACTTTTTGTCAAAATGTTATACAAGGATCAAAAGGTCTTGTATTTGAAATGTTAATGCTACTTGCGATTAGAATAAATGCAAGTGTATTCGGAAAACGAAAATATCACAATTTCATAACTTTGTTTTATCCCATTAAATATTGTATAATTTTTGGCAAAAAGATTGTTTTTCGTACTTGTTATGTTAGGGTATGAATTTTTTAATAGTTATACTTTGCTGTTAATAAGCAAAACATTTTAAAACTAATGTCGAATTCAAATATGTAAATGTGCAATGAAAAAAATATAATATATATTTTGAAAAATAGAGATATAGAAAATTGTTAAATTATTGAATTAATATTATAAAAACCTTTTGTGCTTTTCATCGAAAATACAAATATTGTTACTACGAATCTATGAACAATTTGCTACATTTTCAAGAATTCTACGAATAGTGAAAATCACTTCGGAATTGCATAGTCTTTGTTACGCGTAATTTGAATTTCAAAACACTGATGCTACATCGTAATTAACAGGACAATATCTCCGTCGCAAATGAATAATATTACCGAGTGACAAACATTGATTAAATGTTAACTGTAGATTGAATGTACATAATCAGTTCATAATGTACTTAGTACATGTGTAGTACCATCATACTTCGCAATATGATATCATTGAAACACTTTTAATAATTTCGACTTCAATTAAATTCTGATAACTGAGTCTTTGCCACGCAGACATAAATTTAATTTCCAAATTCAAAAATACGTGTCAAGATCAATAAGTCCCTTAACAGTTTGACCACCACACTTTGGGTGACATAAATTTTCAATCAATACAAGAATTAATTTTCTCGATGACATACCAAAGGCATCAAATTTTGTTGAATCTATGAGATGCAAAAAGACTAAGAAAACAATTGAAAAATCTTTTCAGTATCTAGTTCATTAAAAAAACTGTTTCAATCATCTAAACCAGATTTTCCTTGAGGTGCACTCATTCGTTATCCCCAGCATTCGATCCCACCGCATCATCTTCAACTTAATCCACAAAATTACCTCACAGAGCTCTATCAATGTACAGTGCATTATTTCAAAAGAGGCCCGAAGATTCTAATAAAGGAGAGGGTACAAGAACAACAGTAACATCGTTGGAGGTAACATCCTCATAACATCTACATGAACGTTATAAAAATTTGCCACATGCCCAGACAGACAAATTGCAAAGAAAAATTAGAAATAAAGAAAAAATAATCTCAAAAATCTGTGCCCCTATGAGCGATAAAAAGAAATCAGCACAAAGAATCAGAGAAAAGAGTAAGCTCAATGGAGCAGATTTGGCGTTCAAAGCGTCGAAGTCTAATAAGCGCGAGCGGGAAAGGGAAAAATCCCAGAATCCCCGGCTACACGGTGTCTATCTAAAAACACGAGACCCTGAGCGAGGCTCGTTACAGTAAATGTCACTGTCTGACTTTCGTCAGCCCATGGGGATCGTTATCGTGGGGCCAGAAAGACAGCTGACGCGCTGGCGTATCCCCTACCACGGCACGGGGAGCGAACACTTATGGAAACCTGCGCGCACACGTAAGAAACCAGAGTCGCCAGCTTGTCTCGGCTGGATCAGAAGGCGGAGGAGGATGCGTCACGCATCAAGTTTGACGGAAGAAGCTGAAAAGAAGAAAAAGGAGAGGAGAGGACGAAGGAAGAAGGAAAA